CCTGAAACGCACAAGCTGCCCCAAACGGACCTTAATCTGCAGAGAATGAAAAGCTTCATAAAAAGCATATTTATGTTTAAAGTAATGGTAAGGACAATAAGGAAACTTATTTCTTAATTGAAGCATGTTGACCTCATTTTTTGTCAGCTCTTAATTCACTAAAAATTTTTAAGAGAAATTTGAAATAAATCACATAAAATTGATATAAAACATAATTGTCTTCAATCAAATCCAAAAATTAGACCGAAATGTAGCCCAATGAGGGAATATTTCGAAATTATCATTTTTACGCCCCGAAATTATCATTTTCCTATACAATCATTGTAGTGTTTGAGATTTTATGCTATAAACAATATTAAGTTCATCATTAATGAATAAATAACATGTAATAAAATTTGATGACTATTAGATAACTTCTTACAAAAAAAATTTTGGCAAGTTTTCATACGTGAAAATATATGAAAATTGCTCTCCTAAAAAAGTTTTTAATGAAGAGTCATTTTACAAAACAAATTTTGCAAATGCATCTAAATTATTGAAAATTTTCAAATAAGCCCCTTCGTACCCAAATAAGACTTCGCTTAGGGGCCAATCTAACATACAATAATTTGGATTATAATTATGATTGGCTTGCCCTCAAAATAAACTCAAATCAACTCTAAACTTAAAATATAGTCAAACTGAGCTAAAAACATTAAAATTGAAGAATTTGAAGCCCATGAATTTTCAAAAAAAAACAAAAAATCAGTTCTCTCTCTCTCCTACACTAGAGCCCACACTTTGACCTCAAATTCTTGAGATGGGGTCCATGTTATCTAAAGCAAATCCTATCATCCTGCTGCCCAAATCTTATTGCACTAAATGAGCTATAGAAACCCTCCAATCCATGCCATAAGCTAATCCATCAACAATGTACATCATTTCTAATAAAACACACATCTGAATTGCCAATTACCAATCACATCTAAGTTGCCTGTTACTCGGCAGCATTAATAAGCCAAGCATATCAAAAGAATATCCTTAAAGGCTATCGATAGGTTAGGCATACTATGATGGGTGATGTGAACTTTTCACTTGTTGGCCTATTAATGCATGTTGAAAGTGAACTGCATTAATATCTTTGCACACAAAAATACCATCCAGCTAAAAAATTTGCTGCCGTATGGACCGCCAAATCATTATCAATATGACGTCGATGGCTTGGTCGTAATCATATTAAAGCCCAGCCATGTATGTTTATTGGAACTCCAAGTGTGAGGACTTTAGTACATTTCTAGAAACCATTTTATTAAAAAAGAAAAACCACTGGGGACAGTTCTGTAATAATAATTTTTTCTTATATTGTGATGGTAAGACTATCAGAGAACTAAGGCATTTTTGGAACAAAAGAAAAGCAAAAGTAATTTGTTTTGTCAAAAGCAATTTTTCACGCAGTCAAACAGTCCATATTAAACGAAAAATTATTGCATACATACATCGCATGCAGAGATGCATGCGGTGTCAGATCCTGACCATAGATCACGGTAATCTACGGTCATGATGTATTTCAGTGGGACCCACTTTTAATTATTTTTTTTCAAAAAAAGTTTTGATTGCATGTTGACCGAAGATCACCGTGATTTACGGTCAGGATCTGACACCGCAAGCACCTATGCATGCGGTGTATGTATGCAATAATTTTTCATAATGTCAGGGTCGCTATGTGATTTTATTTTTATTTTATATGCTTTTTTGCAAACTATGTTAGGAAAGAATAGTAAAATAGAAGGTTGACACCCTTTAATTAAGTATACTTTCATAAATAAGAATAAGGAAGATTTAAATACATAACACTCAATTCTTATGGATTTACATATCTACCAACTAAACTTTAATTTTTACATATATGCCATTTTATTTATGCATGGAAAAGTATAAGACCACATTGGCAATAAAAAACAAGACAAGGATTTTATACTGATTTTTCACTCCATATAGTTTCTTGTATTTTACTTTTAATCCATGACACTTTGCTGGGTTAATTAAGGTTAAGTCATTGAGCTCAAGTTAAGCTTCTGCAAGCTTGAAAATGGCTTAACCTATTTGATTTGGCCTGCGAAATGACTGTAGATTGTCAGGTCTGATTTCCCCTTTTACATTTGAGATGCACAAATAAATAAAGAAACAAATGCAGTTTGGCTTCAATTGCAAAAATATCAGCCACATCTTTCATGAATAAACCGATCGAGTTTCATTAGTTATTTCTTAATTACTCCTCATTCGTTATTTCTACTTACTTTTAATCTGATCTGAGCTACTGCTGTTATACATTCTATACTTGGAAA